AGCATGGTTGTACAGGTAGGATAGCTGTACAGGTGGGGATAGTTGTACAGGTGGGATGGCTGTACAGGTATGTTAGTTATTACAGGTGGGGAGGGTTGTACAGGTGGGATAGTTGTACAGGTGGGATGGCTGTACAGGTGGGTTAGTTGTGGGTAGGATAGCTGTACAGGTGGGGTTAGTTGTCAGGTAGGATGGCTGTACAGGTAGGATAGTTGCAGGTAGGATAGCTGTACAGGTATGTGGTGTGCAAGGTAGGTTAGTTGTACAGGTAGGAGGGTTGTACAGTGGGATGGTTGTACAGGTAGGATAGCTGTACAGGTAGGTTAGTTGGTATGTTGGTTGTACAGGTAGGTTAGTTGTACAGGTAGGATAGGCTGTGTACAGGTAGGATAGTTGTACAGGTGGGATAGCTGTACAGGTATGTTAGTTGTACAGGTAGGATGGCCAGGTGGGAGGACTTGGACATGTGGGATGGTTGCTGGGTAGGATGGTTGTACAGGTAGGTTGGTTGTACAGGTTGGGATGGCTGTACAGGTAGGTTAGTTGTACAGGTAGGAGGGTTGTACAGGTAGGATAGTTGTACAGGTATGTTGGTTGTACAGGTGGGATCTGTCAGGTAGGTTAGTGTACAGGTAGGAGGGTTGTACAGGTAGGATGGCTGTGGTGGAGTTGTGTACAGGTAGGAGGCTTGTACAGGTAGGAAGCTTGTACAGGTAGGAGTTATGAAGCGTCTGGTGGCGGCAATTAAGCTGTTCATCACTGTGAAAATATGATTAAGGCGACGACTACCAAAGTCAACTGGGAGGGAGAGTGTGAGGAGGAGGAAAACAGAGACGTAAACTAATGAATAAATTAATGTTTATGTGAACTAGATGCTGCTGTAGGAGTTAGCTGACCAATGTCTTTTAGTCGTGTCCTTGGGGTTGTCTGGGGTCGTCTCTGCTTTTGGGTGGTGTTTCTGGGGTGATCTCTATGGGGTCGTCTCTAAGTCGTGTCGGAGTCATGACAACAAGGAGGTGCCAGTTCTTGTGGTGCCAATAAGGAGGTCACACACAACACACTTTTGTGTCTTGACGCAGGAAGTGTATTACAGCTAGTTAGATAGAATTGTCTTTTTGCCACACAGACACACTATAGTGCCCCCCTCCTCACAGACCTACAGTGCCACTTCTCTCAAAGACACACCACAGTGCCACTTCCGTCACAGACACACCATAGTGCCACCTCCCTCACAGACACACCACAGTGCCACTTCTCTCACAGACACACCACAGTGCCACTTCTCTCACAGACACACCATAGTGCCACTTCTCACAGACACGCCACAGTGCCACTTCTCTCACAGACACACTGCCACAGTGCCACTTCTCTCCACAGACACACCATAGTGCCACTTCTCTCACAGACACCTGTAAGGTGCCACTTCCGTCCTAGACACACCAAGGTGCCACACCTCCCTCAAAGACACACCACAGTGCCACTTCTCTCACAAGACACACCATGGTCTTACACACCTCCACCTCACAGACCACACCACAGTGCCACTTCTCTCACAGACACACACAGTGCCACACCTCCCTCACAGACACACCACAAGTGCCACTTCTCTCACAGACACACCATAGTGCCACTTCCGTCACAGACACACCATAGTGCCACACCTCCCTCAAAGACACACCACAGTGCCACTTCTCTCCCACAGACACACCATGGTGCCCACACCTCCCTCACAGACACACCACAGTGCCACTTCTCTCACAGACACCATAGTGCCACCTCCCTCACAGACACACCATAGTGCCACTTCTTTCTAGACACACCACAGGTGCCATTTTCTCTCCACAGACACACCATAGTGCCACTTCAGTCACAGACACACCATAGTGCCACTTCCGTCACAGACACACCATAGTGCCACTTCTCTCCCTACAGACACACCACAGGTGCCACTTCTCTCACAGACACACCATGATGCACTTCCGTCTGGAGCACACCATGAGTGCACTTCCGTCTGGAGCCTGCCATAGTGCCACTTCTCTCACAGACACACCACAGTGCCACTTCTCTCACAGACACACCACAGTGCCACTTCTCTCCACAGACACACCATAGTGCCACTTCCGTCACAGACATACACCATGAGTGCCACTTCTTAGGAGACACACCATAGTGCCACTTCTCTCACAGACGCACACCACAGTGCCACTTCGTCACAGACACACCACAGTGCCACTTCTCTCCACAGACACACCAAAGTGCCACTTCTCTCACAGACACACCATAGTGCCACTTCTCTCACAGACACACCACAGTGCCACTTCTCTCACAGACACACCAAAGGGTGCCACTTCTCTCACAGACACACACCATAGTGCCACTTCAAGTCACAGACACACCATGGTGCCACACTTCAAATCACAGACACACCATAGTGCACTTCCCGATACAGACCTGCATGGTGCCCTTCCGTCACAGACACACCATAGAGTGCCCTTCCGTCACAGACACACCGCCAGGTGCCACTTCTCTCACAGACACACCACAGAGGTGCCGCTTCGTCACAGACACCACAGTGCCACTTCTCTCACAGACACACCAAAGTGCCGCTTCTCTCACAGACACACCATGAGTGCCACTTCCGTCACAGACACACCATAGTGACACTTCTCTCCTGTGAACTTACACCATAGTGCCACTTCTCTCACAGACACACCATAGTGTCACATTCCGTCTGTAGACACACCACAGTGCCACTTCTCTCACAGACACACCATAGTGCCACTTCCGTCACAGACACACCATGGTGCCACTTCTCTCACAGACACACCACAGTGCCACTTCTCTCACAGACACCCACAGTGCCACTCTCTCACAGACACACCATAGTGCCACTTCTCCTCCACAGACACACCACAGTGCCACTTCTCTCCACAGACACACCACAGTGCCACTTCTCTCACAGACACACCATAAGAGTGCCACTTCTCTCCCCAGACACTCCATAGTGCTACTTCCGTCACAGACACACCATAGTGCCACTTCTCTCACAGACACACCACAGTGCCACTTCTCTCACAGACACACCACAGTGCCACTTCTCTCACAGACACACCATAGTGCCACTTCTCTCTCACAGACACACCACAGTGCCACTTCTCTACAGACACACCACAGTGCCCTTCTCCTCACAGGCACACCATAGTGCCACTTCCGTCACAGACACCATAGTGCCACTTCTCTCACAGACACACCATAAGTGCCACTTCTCCTCAGACACCACAGTGCCACTTCCGTCACAGACACACCACTGCGTGCCACTTCCGTCTGAGCCACACCATGGTGCCACTTCCGTCACAGACACACCACTTGGTGCCACTTCTCTCACAGACACACCACAGTGCCACTTCCGTCACAGACACACCATAGTGCCACTTCTCTCCACAGACACACCATAGTGCCACTTCTCTCACAGGCACCATAGTGCCACTTCCGTCACAGACACACCATAGTGCCACTTCTCTCCACAGACACACCATAGTGCCACTTCCTCTCACAGACACACCATGGTGCCGTTTTACCTCACAGACACACACCACAGTGCCACTTCTCTCAAGAGACACACCACAGTGCCACTCCGTCACAGACACCATAGTGCCACTTTTTCTCCTAGACACACCACAGTGCCACTTCTCTCACAGACACACCATAGTGCCACTTCCGTCACAGACACACCACCACAGTGCCACTTCTCTCACAGACACACCACAGTGCCACTTCCGTCTGAGAACACCATAGTGCCACTTCTCTCCACAGACACACCATAGTGCCACTTATCTCTAGACACCATAGTGCCACTTCCGTCACAGACACACCATAGTGCCACTTCTCTCCTAGACACACCATGTGCCATTTCTCTCACAGACACACCACGAGGTGCCACTTCCGTCACAGACACACCATAGTGCCACTTCCGTCACAGACACACCATAGTGCCACTTCTCTCACAGACACTACAGTGCCACTTCTCTCACAGACACACCACAGTGCCACTTCTCTCAAGACACACCATAGTGCCACTTCTCTCCACAGACACACCATAGTCCCACTTCTCACAGACACACCATAGTGCCACTTTATGCTCCTGGCAGACACACCATAGTGCCACTTCCCGTCTGGAGCACACCATAGTGCCACTTCTCTCACAGACACACCATAGTGCCACTTCTCTCACAGACACACCATAGTGCCACTTCTCTCACAGACACACCCTTAGTGCCACTTCTCTCACAGACACACCATAGTGCATTTCCACTTCCGTCACAGACACACTACATAGTGCCACTTCTCTCACAGACACACCACAGTGCCACTTCTCTCACAGACACACCACAGTGCCACTTCTCTCTGAATACCATAGTGCCCTTCTCTCCTGAACACACCATGGTGCCACTTCCGTCACAGACACACCATAGTGCCACTTCCAGAATACAGACACACCACATAGTGCCACTTCCGTCACAGACACACCACAGTGCCACTTCTCTCACAGACACACCATAGTGCCACTTCCGTCACAGACACACCACAGTGCACTTCTCCCTAACAGACACACCACTTAGTGCCACTTTTCTCACAGATACACCACAGTGCCACTTCTCTCACAGACACACCATGATGCCACTTCCGTCTAGACACACCACAGTGCCACTTCTCTCTGAACACCCACAGGTGCCACTTCTCTCACAGACACACCACAGTGCCACAGACACACCACAGTGCCACTTCCGTCACTAGACACACCATAGTGCCACTTCTCTCACAGACACACCACAGTGCCACTTCTCTCACAGACACACCACAGTGCCACTTCCGTCACAGACACACCATAGTGCCGTTTACCTCACAGACACACCATAGTGCCGTTTACCTCACAGACACACCACAGTGCCACTTTCCTTACAGACGTGTTCGATTAACTTACTACTCTACGTCCCTCACAGATGCCCCTGAGTGCCACACCTCCCCCACCACCTACTTCATCTACGACAAGCCCATCAAGGTGTCGTGCCGGGTGTCCTCCTTCCCTCCCGTCTCCTCCGTACTGTGGCAGTGGAACAACAGCGTGGAGGTGCTGAGGAATGCGGCCGTCACCCACCACGACCTGGCCACAGCGTTCCTCACAGTGTACCCGCAGCCGCAACACGAGGACCGAGCGCTGTCATGTTGGGCCGTGAACGAGATGGGCGTCCAGCAGAAACCGTGCGCCTTCACCATCAAGGTGGCAAGTAAGTCACCACTCACACTGTCTCACCAACACATGTATAGTGACTGTCTCTGTATGGTGACTGTCTGTCTTGCAGTCACCACTCATATTGCCTCACTAAAAACAGTTTGATTTAATATATAGTCGTTCTTTGACTAACTGACTGACTGACTGACTAACTGAGTTAATAACTAATAGAGTGACTGATTTAACTAACTGGCTACCCCCCCCCCAAGCTTATTTCACCTAATGACTAAACCCTAAAGCTACCTAAGAGAAGGTGGTTAATTAAATAATCTTAATAGTGACATAATCTAAGGCTTAATTTCGAGGTAATAGGAAATAACTTTTGTTTTCCATTAAATATTATCAATGTAATCAGTGTTGTAGTGAAGACAAATTTCTGTTATCTTAGACCCGAGTAGATAACATGATATATTTCTTCCATTAATTAAATCTAACATAAAACATACATACCAGAGAGTGCATGAATGTTTACACAATGAAGAAATATTACTATAAGATAACAAACTCTAATATTTATTCAACTTAAATATAGATAACAATAAAACACCAACTGATAACTGCACCAGATATATAGATATGAGTAATTTAATTGGTATTTAAAGGTGAACACGACAAAATCATTACACACACGTTGTTATCTCAAACATAAAAGTAATATAACTAAAACAATTTATTTAAGAGACAAGCGCTCACTCCTACATAAAAGTACTTGTGATGTATTGACCCAAATTAACACACTTGTGATGTATTGACCCAAATTAACACAGGAATAACACGAGTCACAACAAACACATAACTCCAGTTAGGTTGTGATCAGAGTGCTTGTTAATAGAGTGTTGTGAAGCCTGGGTGTTGTACTGATGGTGTAGTGTGAGTGAGGGTGGAGTGTCGTGGTCCTGAGTAGATAGATAGATAGATAGATTGATAGATAGATAGATAGGTAGATAGATAGATAGATAGATAGATAGATAGATCGATAGTAGGTAGTAAGTAGTAGACAGCTACCAAACAGGGAGGTACTACCGCCTGGGAAGATATTGGAAGCATAATGTGTTGTCTAATGGTAGACACTGCTGCCATATGGCATCATGAAAATTGTGACCAAGTTCCAGGTTGCTGATCTGATTTTCTGCCTCAATTACACTCAATTGCAGGATTTCAATTGCTTCTCATACTATTGACAACACAACATACATTTATTGTTTCTCATATTATTATTATTATTATTATTATTATTATTATTATTATTATTATTATTATTATTACTATTATTATTTTTATTATTATTATTATTATTATTATTATTATTATTATTATTATTATTATTATTATTATTATTATTATTATTATTATTATTATTATTATTATTTTTATTATTATTATTAGTAGTATTATTGTTGTTGTTGTTGTTGTTGTTGTTAGTAGTAGTAGTACTATTATTATTACCTTTTTGCTCCCCAGGCCCACGATGTGCGTCAGTGACCTGTGCGCGGGTGGGCTAATCCCTGTAAGAAAAGATAGAAAGTTAGATAGATAGATAGATAAGTGTGTGTAAGTTTTAGTGCCAATGTAAGTGATTTAGTGGTTCAGTGTGTCAATAGTTAAGTGTGTCAATGGTTCAGTGGTTCAGTGTGTCAATAGTTAAGTGTGTCAATGGTTCAGTGGGTCAGTGTGTCAATAGTTAAGTGTGTCAATGGTTCAGTGGTTCAGTGTGTCAATGATTCAGTGGTTCAGTGTGTCAATAGTTAAGTGTGTCAATGATTCAGTGGTTCAGTGTGTCAATAGTTAAGTGTGTCAATGGTTCAGTGGTTCAGTGTGTCAATAGTTAAGTGTGTCAATGGTTCAGTGGTTAAGTGTGTCAATGGTTCAGTGGTTCAGTGTGTCAATAATTAAGTGTGTCAATGGTTCAGTGGTTCAGTGTGTCAATAGTTAAGTGTGTCAATGGTTCAGTGTGTCAATGATTCAGTGGGTCAGTGTGTCAATAGTTAAGTGTGTCAATGGTTCAGTGGTTCAGTGTGTCAATAGTTAAGTGTGTCAATGGTTCAGTGGTTAAGTGTGTCAATGGTTCAGTGGTTCAGTGTGTCAATAATTAAGTGTGTCAATGGTTCAGTGGTTCAGTGTGTCAATAGTTAAGTGTGTCAATGGTTCAGTGTGTTAATGATTCAGTGGTTTAGTGTGTCAATGGTTCAGTGGTTCAGTGTGACGATGGTTCAGTGGTTCAGTATGTCAATGGTTCAGAGGTTCAGTGTGTCAATGGTTCAGTGTGTTAATGATTCAGTGGTTCAGTGTGTCAATGGTTCAGTGTGTCGATGGTTCAGTGTGTTAATGATTCAGTGGTTTAGTGTGTCAATGGTTCAGTGGTTCAGTGTGACGATGGTTCAGTGGTTCAGTGTGTCAATGGTTCAGAGGTTCAGTGTGTCAATGGTTCAGTGTGTCGATGGTTCAGTTGTTTAGTGTGTCAATGGTTCAGTGCTTCAGTTTGTTGATGGTTCAGTGGTTCAGTGTGTCAATGGTTCAGTGTGTTAATGATACAGTGGTTCAGTGTGTCAATGATTCAGTGGTTCAGTGTGTTAATGATACAGTGGTTCAGTGTGTCAATGATTCAGTGTGTCAATAGTTCAGTGGTTCAGTGTGTCAATGATTCAGTGTGTCAATAGTTCAGTGGTTCAGTGTGTCAGTGATTTAGTGGTTCAATGATTTAGTGGGTCAGTGTGTCGATAGTTTAGTGGTTCAGTGTGTCAATGATTCAGTGTTTCAATAGTTCAGTGGTTCAGTGATTCAGTGATTTATTGGTTCAATGATTCAGTGGTTCAGTTGGGTTCACTAACGCGGTGTTGTCCTCAGAGATGCCGCTGCCGCTGTCGTCATGTCGCTTGGCCAACATCACTGCCTCCTCCCTCAGCCTCACCTGCCAGCGGCCTCACACCTCCGCCGCTGGCACCACCTTGTACCGGGCAGAGGTCAGTGCCACGTTTATGTTACTCAGAAGTCAGTGCCACTCTTATGTCACTCAGTGGTCAGTGCCACGTTTATATTACTCAGAAGTCAGTGCCACTCTTATGTCACTCAGTGGTCAGTGCCACGTTTATGTTACTCAGACGTCAGTGCCACTCTTATGTCACTCAGAAGTCAGTGCCACTCTTATGTCACTCAGTGGTCAGTGCCACGCTTATGTTACTCAGAAGTCAGTGCCACGCTTATGTCATTCAGAGGTCAGTGCCACGCTTATGTCACTCAGAGGTAAATATTACTCTTATAACATTCTCCTAATTGACTGTACTCAAGAGTTAAAGCCAACGTACTCGAGTGTTAGATCATCGTACTCAAGGGGTTGTCATCGTACCCAAAATATTAAGCCATCATAGTCAAGGAATTAAACACGCTAACCTAACCTAACCTAACCTAACCTAACCTAACCTAATCTAACCTAACCTAACCTAACCTAACCTAACCTAACCTAATCTAGTCTAATCTAACCTAATCTAACCTAATCTAATCTAATCTAATCTAATCTAATCTAATCTAATCTAACCTTCCATGTAACGTTAGGGTGTTTAATCATCAATTGAAGTAAGGTAGGGGCCTAATCTTCAGGTGTTCCGAAATCTCTCTAAGATAGGTGTAGAAAATAACAGATAAGCGATGTGTGTTTGTGTGTATGTCTGGCTATCACTTGACGTATGTCCTGGTGTCCGCAGGTGTACTTCGAGAACCACACGCTCTTCGCCAACGTCACCTCCACAAGACCCAACTTTAACGTAAGTCGTCTGGATGCCGACACGAGTTACCAGATCAAGGTGTATGTGAGCCACGGTCCCGTCACCTCGCAGCCAGTGGTTGTCTCCGCCTACACCTCCAGGACCTCTAGAGCGCCTACAGGTGAGTCTCAGGGCCTTCATAAAGTAATTAGGTAAAGATTTGGAGCTTATGGACTCCTACACGGGGCACTTATAGGAGTATTTAAGGCTAACAGGTACCCAAAGGTTACTCTTAGAGGCTACATACGTCAAAGGGGAAATTTCACAGCATTCAAAAAGGGTTTAAGTCAACGTCACAGCCCCATGACTCACAGATCACCAACATCACAGCCCCTAAGACTCAGAGATCACTAACATCACAGCCCCTAAGACTCAGAGATCACCAACATCACAGCCCCCATGACTCACAGATCACCAACATCACAGCCCCCATGATTCTCAGATCACCAACATCACAGCCCCTAAGACTCAGAGATCACCAACATCACAGCCCCCATGATTCTCAGATCACTAACAGCACAGCCCCTAAGACTCACAGATCACCAACATCACAGCCCCTAAGACTCACAGATCACCAACATCACAGCCCCCATGACTCACAGATCACCAACATCACAGCCCCGAGGATTCAGAGTCTCAGTGTAACAGAACCTAGGACCTGTAGAGGCGCCTTTGAGTTGGTCATCTATACACAGACGTCAAGAGATGAGGTAGACTGTCACTGGGCTTGAGTTACGATCATTCAACCTCATGGTACTCAAGCAGTTAAGTCATTGTACTCAACGGATTAAATCATCATACTCAGGGAATTAAATCGTCATACTCGGGGATTAAATCTTCGTACTCAGAGGATTAAGACATCGTACTCAAGGGATTAAGTCATCGTACTCGGGATTTAGTCAACATACCAGAAGTGAAAAGCGTTGTACATAAGATAAGATTCCTCATTTGTATTGTCATTTAATACACCGATTTAATGAGTCGGAACTTATTGACATATAACTCGTTGAAAGATTCCATCATACACTGTCATGCAAACTTTCACCCACTGTCATACACTGTCATGAAAACTTCCACCCACTGTCATACACTGTCGTGCAAACTTTAACTCACTGTCATACACTGTCATGCACGATTATGTATTTTCACACACACACACACACACACACACACACACACACACACACTGCCATACACTGCCATTCACTATTATGCACCCTTTCACACTGTCATACACTATTATACACACTTTCATACTGTCACACACACACACGCACACACACAAATATACACAGATCATGATGTGTTTACAGATCCAGTGCGAGAGACGAGAGCGAGCAACGTGGGCGGCGTGGTGGGCGGGGTTATCGTGACGGTGGTGGTGGTGGGCGTGGCGGTATGGACGAGGCATTACTGTACCTCCCGCTGGCGTCGCGGCCGGAGAGAGAAGCTTGACGCCAGGCCTTCCTCAGATGACAGTAACCCAGACGTGGTGCCTAACATTGGTAAGTGACGGGGAGTGACGGAAAGTGACAGGAAGTAATAGGAAATAACGGGGAGTGGCGGGAAGTGATGGAGAGTGACAGAAAATGACGTGGTGCCCAGCATTGGTAAGTGACGGGAAGTGACAGGGAGTGACGTGATGCCCAACATTGGTAAGTGACGGGAAGTGACAGGGAGTGACGTGGTGCCCAACATTAGTGAGTGACGGGAAGTGATGAAGAGTGACAGGAAGTGACGTGGTGCCCAACATTGGTAAGTGACGGGAAGTGAGAGGGAGTGATAGGAAGTAACGGGGAGTGGCGGGAAATGACGAGGAGTAATAGGGTGTGATGGAGAGTGACGGAAGTGACAGGGAGTGACTGGGAGTAACGGGGAGTAACAGGAAGTGACCAGGAGTGACAGAAATTGACGGGGATTGGTAGGGAGTGACAGGAAATGAGAAGGAGTAACAGGTAGTGATGGGGAGTGACAGGTAGTGACCGAAAGTGACGGGGAGTAACAGGAAGTGACAGAAAGTGGTGGAGAGCAACAGGAAGTGTTGGGAAGTGGCGGAAAGTGGCGGCGATTGATAGGGAGTTACGGAGAGTGACAGGAAGTGACAGGGCATGACAGGGAATAACGGGGAGGAGAGACTTGAGGGTCAGACAGACAGATTGACAGACAAATGAACGAAAAGATAGACTCATAATCAAATGGGTGGACTGATAGACAGATAGAACGACAGACATAGACAGATCCACAGACAGACATTAGAAAGTTTGATCGACTGACAGACAGCCAGATAGAAGGAGGGTCATATAGACAGACAATTATTGTGAGATAGACGGTTGATATAATGAACAGTGAGATAGACAGAAATATAATGAATGATATTTTGTTCATGTGTAATTTTGGAGTTTTTAAAAGAATTCTTTCCATTCTTAGACAAACTAATAACGTCTTCCTCACACACACACACGGCTCTTCTCTCCCACAGCTGACGAAACCTACGACCTACTGTCACTGACGGAGAGAAAGTGTCAGGACTCTCTCTATCGGGTACTGGACAACCCCATCCACCACACTATACCTCTGGTTAGTCACTGTACCCCTGGTGAGTCACTGTACCCCTAGTGAGTCACTGTACCCTTAGTGAGTCACTGTACCTCTAGTGAGAGTCTACGCCCCATGGTGACTCACTGTACCCTTGGTGAGTCACTGTATCCCTGGTCAGTTAATCACTCTACCCATGGTGAGTGTGTGTGTATGAGATGTAGGTCAGTGTGAGGATTTTTTTTTTTTTTATAATTGGGCACCCCCCTACATCCTTGTGTAAGGTGAAGCGCAGAAGCGTTTACAGCGCCCAACAGGGAAGCATGCTAAGTTCATGCTTGCCTTATGTCTCGTGAGTTAAGGGCGTAGAAGCCTGAAGAGTCAAGGGCGTAGAAGCCTGAAGAGTCAGTGGTTTATGTCATCAAGTTATTGGAAGCTCCAACAACTTGTCCCTGAATACGAATTCGCAACTTTCGACTTACAACAGGTACCTACTTTACTGCTAGGTGAACAGGGACTAATGGGGGCTAGGAAGTAAGTCCAAACAACTTCCACCGGCCCGGGAATCGAACTCGTGACATCTCACTTGCGAGGCAAGAACGGTACCGCTTCTACCACCGATCCCCCAGTGTGAGGATGAGAAGAGAAGAGTGTGAGGGTGAGAGGATAAGAGTGTGAGGGTAGGAGAAGAGTGTGAGGGTGAGAGAAGAGTGTGAGGGTGGGAGAAGAAGAGTGTGAGGGTGGGAGAAGAGTGTGAGGGTGGGAGAAGTGTGTGAGGGTGCGAGGAGAAGAGTGTGGGTGGGAGGAGAAGGGTTTGAGGGTGGGGAGGGAAGAGTGTAGTGAGAGGAGAGTGTGAGGGGTGAGAGGAGAAGAGCGTGAGGGTGAGAGGAGAAGTGTGAAGGTGAGAGAAGAGAGTGTGAGGTGAGAGGAGAAGAGTGTGAGGTTGGGAGGAGAAAGAAGTGTGAGGTGGGAGGAGAAGAGTGTGAGGGTGGGAAGAGTGTGAGGGGGTGGGAGAGTGTGAGGTGGATGGGAGAGTGTGAGGGTGGGAGAAGTGTGAGGTGGGAGAGGTGTGAGGTGGGAGAAGTGTGGTGGGAAGGAAAAAGGAGAGGTGGGAGGAGAAGTGTGAGTGGGAGAAAGAAGTGTAGGGTAGAGAGTGTGAGGTGGGAGAGAGAGAGTGTCAGGGTGGGAGGAGAAGAGTGTCAGGGTGGGGAGGAGAAAGAGTGTCAGGGTGGGAGGAGAGAATTGGTGGGAGAGAGTGTCAGGGTGGGAGGAGAAGTGTGAGCGTGGGAAGAGAAGTGAGGTAGAGGGAAGAAATTGTGAGGTGGGAGGTAGAAAGTGAGGTCGGAGAAGTGTGAGGGTGGGAGAACAGTGTGAGCGTATGGAAGAGTGTGAGGTGGGAGTAGAAGAGTGTGAGTGTGAGAGGTGAAGAGTGTGGTGGGAGAAGAGGTGTGAGGTGGGAGAAAGAGTGTGAGGGTGGGAGGAGAAGAGAGTGTGAGGTGGGAGAAGTGTGAGGGTGGGAGAAGAGTGTAGGAGGTGGGAGAAGTGAGGTGGGAGAAAGAAGTGTGAGGGTTGGAAGGAGAAAAGAGTGTGAGGTGGGAGGAGAAAGTGTGAGGTGGGGAGGTGGAAGAGGTGTGTGGGTGGGAGAAAAGTGTTATGGGGTGGGAGGAGAGAGGTGTGGGCGTGGAAGAAAAGTGTGAGGTGGGAGGAGAGTGTGAGGTTGGGAGAAGTGTGAGGGGTGGGAGGAGAAGTGTGAGGTGGGGAGAAAAGAGTGTGTGGGTGGGAGGAGAAAAGAGGTGTGAGGGTGAGAAGAGTGTGAGGTGGGAGGTAAGAAAGTGTGGGTGGGAGAAAGAGTGTGAGGTGGGAGGAGAAAGAGAGTGTGAGCGTGGGAAAGAAGTGTTGAGGTGGGAGGTGAAGAGTGTGAGGTCGGAGAGTGTGAGGGTGGGAGGAGAACAGTGTGGGCGTGGGAGGAGAGAAAAGTGTGAGGGTGGGAGTGGAAGAGTGTGAGTGTGGGAGGTGAAAGTGTGAGGGTGGGAGAAAAGTGTGAGGTGGGAGAAGAAGTGTGGAGGTGGGAGGAGAAAAGTGTGAGGTGGGAGAAAGTGTGAGGTGGGAGGAGAAGTGTGAGGTGGGAGGAGAAGAAGAGTGTGAGGGTGGGAGGAGAAAGAGTGTGAGGTGGGAGGAAAAAGTGTGAGGTGGGAGGAGAAAGAGTGTGAGAAGGAGTGAAGAAGTGTGAGGGTGGGAGAAGTGTGAGGTAGAGAAAGTATGGCGTGGGAGGAAGTATGAGGTAGGAAGTGTGAGGTGGGAAGTTAAGAGTGTAGGTGTAGGAGAAAGAGAGTGTGAGGGTGGGAGAGAGTGTGAGGTGGGAGGAGAAGTGTGAGGTGGGAGAAAAGTGGTAAGGTGGGAGAGAGAGAGAAAAGATGTGAGGGTGGGAGAGAGTGTGAGGGGTGGGAGAAGTGTGACGGTGGGAGGAGAGAGGTGTGAGAGGTGGAGGACAGTGTGAGGTGGGAGGAGGAGGTGGGTGGGAGGTGAAAGAGTGTGAGGTGGGAGAAAAGAGTGTGAGGTGGGAGAGAAAGAATGTGAGTTGGAGAAGTGTGAGGTGAAAAAGGAGTGTGAGGTGGGAGAGAAAGAGTGTGAGGCAGGGAGGAGAGGAGTGTGAGGGTGGGAGGAGAATGTGAGGGTTGGAGAGTGTGAGGGTGAAAGAAAAGTGTGTGAGGGTGGGAGGAGATGAGTGTGAGGTGGGAGGAGGTAGGGTGTGAGGTGGGAGGAGAGTGTGAGGTGGGAGGAGAAGTAGGAGGTAGAAAGAGTGTGAGGTTGGGAGAGAGAGTGTGAGGTGGGGAGAAAGGGTGTGAGGTGGGAGAGAAAGATTGTGAGGTGAGGTGGTGAGAGGTGAGAGAAAATTTGTGAGGTGAGAAGAAAAGTGTGGGGAGGGAGGAGAAGTGTGAGGGTAGAGAGGTGTGTGAGGTGAGAGAAAGAGTGTGAGAGTGAGAGAGGAGAAGAGTGTGAGGGAGGGAGGAGAAAAGAGTGTAGGGTTGGGAGAAAGGTGTAAGGGTGGGAGAAGAGTGTGAGGGTGGGAGGTGAGAGGTGTGTGAGGGTTGGGAGGAGAAGAGTGTGAGGTGGGAGGTGAGAATGTGAGGTGGGAGAGAAGTGTGATGGAGGGAGGAGAGTGTGAGGTGGGAGTAGAAAGAGTGTGAGTGGGAGG